TTTTTTTTCCGTCCTCGCTATGAGCCTGTTCGCAGGCTAAAACTAAGTGCACTTGAGGCCCATGCACCCGGATCTTATCCCACTTTCTGGATCACTAAGCGACCAGGAGTATTTCTACTTCCTCCTGTATGGGATACTAGTCCGTCGCAGGGCTACAGCCAGCATTAAATTCGCCTCACTGTGAGAGTAAAGTGTCTTGCCCAAGAACACAACACTATGTTCCCAGCCAGGGCTCGAACCTGGACCGCTCGATCCTGAATCCAACGCACTGGCCAAGAGGCTACCGTACCTCCCCGGTTTATGAAGTGGAACTTCCATGACAGCGAGAAGTGCCCCCTAAACGACCGTGTCCCCTGGATTAAGGTCGGATGGGTGTTGTAATTAATTAGTAATTAACTTGCGAAGGAATAACGCCTGTTTTCTTGACATGAAAAGCAGATGCACGACTTAAATTGCAGCAGTAATCTTAGGCTGTTGACACTTGTAGATAACTGTAATAGCTCATCGTTAAGAAAATTAACAACGTAAAACGACGATGTACATTTTCAGTGCCAAGAAATTCGAGCCTGATGTAATTTTTGAATACTCTGTCTGATCCAAATAAAAATAATCACAATTTTACTCCGGATGTATGGAATCATTTTAAGGCTTTTGCCGCGCAGAGGTTGTTAAAAGCCACTATTTCTTTCAAGTCAAAGAGTTTTAGAGCTTTTGCCGCGCAGACATTTTGAGGTTGTTCAAAGCTACTATTTCTTTCAAGTCAAAGAGCTAAAATTGATCTGGTTACTGTGATCTACCCACTCTTTAATTTTTGGTTGTTAATTCTTATCTTCCTGCACACGACCACTGCCGAAAAAAAAATTCACGCAGGTTCAGTGAGCCGAAAAAAAGCATGCAAAAATTAAGATCGTGATCATTTTCTTAAAATTTGGTAAATCGGCAAATTGGTGGCGAAATTTAATTTTATTGATCAATAAATGAGCGTTATCGATGCAAATTT